GGATGATCCCTCGCTTTCGAGAGTTCCCAGGTAGCCTTTGACAAGATCTCGCAGCTCGTCGTTCATGAGTAACTATACCACAGGATAATGAGCCCGCAACACCATGCAAATATTTGCACGTACCTTGTCGCCCACAATCGCAGGTATTGCTCTAACGAAGACCTGCACATACCCGTTACTTGCTTCATCTCCCGTACATTCCGATTCCAATGAGGTCAACTTAGCCAATCCCTCAAAGCGTACACCCCGGTCGAATGCTGACTGTACTTCTTCGTAGTGTTCCGTGGAAATCCACCTGGTTATCCACCGATGTAGATATCCACCCAGTTATCCACGTGGATAACTCGGTGGATAACCCAAGGCCAAAATAGGTGTGGGCCATGCGCGAGCGAGCATGTGGACATCAGCGTCAGTGAGATGTTGTGGGTGGGGGAGTTTTGAGGTCTGCGAGAGCGGTAGGGCGGGCGAGGAAGGGGCGGAGCTCAAAGGACGATGGCCTTGTGTGGCAGGGCACATCCTCATAGTCACAGTTCTCGATGATCGAGATGTGCTCTAGCTTGGTGCGTGTGAGGATAGTGAGGAGTTCGGACCAGATGCTGGTAGGGCTGCATCTGTGTGCGATAATGTAAACTATTTTGAGGTTTGGGCATCTTGGGGTATCGGAATCCGTCCTGGGGATAGAACGCAGCAAAGTTGTGAGATTATCGCATGATATATGCAGGTCGGTGAGTGCCTGAAAAGCCTGGGGTGCATGGAGAGGCGTGCTTTTGAATCCTATGTGGAGGGTGAGGTATCGGAGGCGTGGCCATAGAGCGATAGCTTCGAGCAAGCCGTTTGAGATATCGCCACCGAAGGATCTGGTGAAACCCTCAGGATAACTGAGCAAGAATGACACTAATTCCAAGGTGTCAACCCCGTCTACGAACTCAAGAGCTTTGAGGCGTGCCGAGGCAGTACAGAGCTTTAGAAAATGGCCTTGCGAAATGGAGTGTCTGAGATGTTCAGGGCGGGTATCGACGGTGGGCAGGAGGAGGTTGAGGGCGCGGATGGATGCAACACGAGAGTCGTACCATAAGAGAGAGCGCAGCTTTGAAAAGAGCGGGGCGTCTTTGGGTGCACTCGCTAGGAGCAATGCGTGTGCAGAGGACTGATGGACGGAACTGGTCGGGTGAACCGGGGAAGGACTGGGTGACAGGACCAGTTCATTACGCAGGGACTTGATTAGAAACTAGATTTCACTCATGTGTGAGTGAATGACGTTTAGTCTTGGGTCGCGACAGGTGAGTGCGAGGTTGAGGACGGAGCGTTGACCTTCAGTATTAGGAAACGGTAAGATTACAGACACCAGTCCCAAATAATAACTATCATACCTCAATGGACATAAATTAGATTTTTTTTAAATGATACCTGGCGAAAACTGAGTCAACAAATCGAGCATTGAACGCAAGATGATCTCTGTCAGGCGAAAACGGCAGTGCATGACGGTCAATTGCAGTGTGGCATGGTACGTTTCTTTTGTAGCGCTAAATTCAGCGCTTCTGTAAGATAATAGAGAGATACGAAATGATTGGGGGAGCCCTGTGCGGGTATGAGGATAGAGGGAACTTTGAGATTTTTTTTCGCTCGTGACTGTAATAACAATAAGATTATATTCTGAGTCGGAGAGGGTGGGCCACCCTAGGGCGGCGCGCTATCAAGTGTGCAAGCAAGCGATTGGTGATGATCCAATAATTGGCTTTTGAATGTATCCGCAGGCGAGACGCGCCCACTCAAAAAGTCCATCAGCTTTTTCAGCCAGGGTTGCGAATTCTCTGTCCCCAAAACGCGGGAGCCCTTCCAGCTCCTCGATACGTAAGTGCGGATGTCGCGCTCTGCGGCAGCTGATGAAATATCGTCCATGGACATCCGTCGGATATGCTGAGCACCTGAAAGCTCAGCCTCGATATCAGGAAGCGGGCGAGAAGTGATGATGATCCGGAAGTTGGCTGGGAGTTCTGTGATTCGTTGAACGCCTAGTTTGCCCGCAAGAATTCGGAGAAGGCGGAGCCGTCTCTCGACTGCACCGCTCTCTTCCAGTACATCTATTACGATGACGACAGGTCTTACAATTGACCCTGAGAGCTTCCCCAGTGGTTTCATGAGTAGTTTGTCCCACTGCTGGACGATATCCGCTGTAGTCTTGAACGAACTCGCATCTTTGACTGCCTCTGCCAATGCTCGTCTCATCTCCGGATCACGGTCGGCATCTCGCTAGTGATCGAAGTAGTAACATAAACCGAGCCCTCCCACATCGTTGAACCAGTTAGCAATCGTGTGGGCGATGGCCGACTTGCCCTTGCCTGCAGGGCCAGATAGCCAGAGCACACGCTGAACATCATCTCCGGCGGTGTTGACCCAGTCTGTGATCTCGGATATGATTTCTGTGCACGTGCCTGGTAGGCATTGTTTCCCAGTATCTCATCCCGCGCCATCCGCATACGTCATGCTGCTTAGATCTAGCGTTTCGCCTGGAGACGTATGAATAGACGTCAAGTCAGAACAACGTACAAACCCTTACCTGTAAGATGGACATAGATGGCTACATCGCGAGTAACTTGCTTCTGGAAGTTGTCCATCAGCTTATCCAACATTTCACCGTAGCCTCGAATTGCATCATCTGTTTCCTGGCCTATGTTCTTTCCAGCTCTACCCCCTACGATAATAGTAGAACATTGAGACTGTGAAAAGCGCAGTGACTTGCAAAGACTCACAAAAGTTCATGGTCTCCGAATAATCTCTGATAAAATGGGCACATTCAAGGGTCTGCTCAGAAATCTGTCCAAGGATAATGTGCATCGACGAAATCTGGTGAAGCCTCTTGTCTTCTGTAAATGAATGTCACCCAACTTCTGGAGAAGGCCGCGTATCGCTGTATCGCGATCCGCTTGAGCGAGAACTACCTGCACGCATAACGACTGAGATAAAGATACGAATGAGACCAAAACCAAACATACTTTAGCGGCCCAAGACAACACGCCCAGTGCCATCTTTGCATATGGATGTACCTATGGAGCAGGAAGTTCGGTTCCATCGAGATATATGGTCCACACCTCGGAGTCCGCGAGCGTCCCGATAACACTGTCGAATATCCTGAGTGGTTGAAGATATCTATCCTGGAAATTATATGCAGCCTCGAGGTCCGCTGATGCATTTTGGACGGTGGATGCTCCAGATGTTACATGTCCTGAAAGTAGCTTTATGAGTTTTACGGCCCCTTCGGTGTTCTGAAGTGCCGATTGGGGATTGGCGCCTCGTTCTGCACCAGAGGGAGCATCCTGAACCTGTGCGACGACTAAAATTTAGAGAGAGAGCAAGTAAAAGGTGAGAAAAAAACAGACATATTCAAGTAGACGTCGTCTCATCCAATGACCCTGGATTATTAAGAGTAATCTCCAAAATTCCATCCGAAACATTGGTCAGTGTACCAGACCACGACTACTGCGAGTACGAAGCACTGAGATTCAATGCGTGTGAACGAGCCTCGCGAAACTCACCGCTCGGTAAGTATTGTTGCTACAGCAATCAAGAGGTCAGTAAGGCGCGGCGTTCCAGAGGAGGTAGGGCGCTCCTCACCGATGTCGTCCAGCAAGCAGGGATGCATCGTACCACCTGCAACTAGAGGCGTGTCAACAAACGAGAGCGGCTCATGGCCCTTGCGTGCTAAGGGCGTGGGTGTGGAGGAAGGGGCAGTGAAGCCACGCTCACTCAGCCTGGGGCAGGGACGGGCCATACCAAGCGTCGTGGGTGGGGGAGGCGGACAACGCAAGGGGAGCTCGAGCTATTAAAAAAAAATGCTCACCATCGCAACCACCGTCCTGCGCATTCATTGTGAATCGATTTGGCGCGCCTGGGGCTCGAGGCCAGGTTGGTAGATGAGTCGAAGATACATGGATCGATCGATACAAATAATCACAAACATCACTTCAACTCCGATGGGCCATCTTCCCGGACTGTAAGAAGTCATCATTGTTCCGTTTCCCGGGGACCAACTTGTCCCGCAGGCAGACTTTGAAATAGAATGAGGATGGTTATTCGAACGTTCATTATTCATCACGGGACCAAGGGCCAGGTGAAATTGACGCGGTCCTGCCGTGCCTGTCGCGGTCGTGACGCACCTGTGACGCGGCACTGAAGTGGCATATGTGACGTGGCTCCGTCACAAATACTAGGGTACAGATTATGTTCAAACACTACCTTATGTCGCTCGAAATGAATTCCAAACACTTTGTATCCTCGCTAATGATCAACATATGAATGTTCAGCTGTGTACAGGCCCTGGAATGCTGCATTCACCTCTCACCAATTTCACAGTGCTTGTCCTCTGTGTTCGTACTACTTGGGAATATTCTGTGCATCTTGTGTTTGTATTGTATGGTCTCTAATCATTGATCCAAAGTTTGTTTTCAGACAGCAGTGTGAATTATTGTATCACTGTGTCAAGTCTCGACCCCACCTTATCAAGTCCGGCAGCCTCTGTGCTCTGTACTATCACGTCAAGCCCCCAACCATGCCATGTCAAGCTTCAGTAAGGCTGGATCAAGCACTACTCACACTACGACAAGTTCTCCCCAACATATTCGCAGCCTCCGCACTAATGTAAACCTCCACACTTATCTATGCTGCGTCAAGGCCCACTTGCATGCCGCGTCAAGCATAGCACATGCCGCGTCACAGGCGAGTCAAGCAAGTTGTGACGCGGCAATGCCTCGTCAATGCCGCGTCACTGCCGCGTCTCACCTCACCCATGCCGCGTCACACTTCACCCATGCCGCATCACTGCCGCGTCACATCTATACATGCCGCGTCAAACCTCAGTGCCGCGTCAATAACTGTCAGTGTCACTTAGGTACATAATATAAGCATTCTACGGGCAGTGGCACTCCAAAAAATTATTTCTCCACCCTCAACTCCTATGGCCTAGAGCAGAACCGGTATCGCGCTGTTGGAAATCTATATATACCATGCCTATCGTGAGTGCTTTGAGATACAGAGCGCACTTGTTTTAACCATACTCTAGGAATTAATCAAACATATATTCAATTTTTTCTATCCCAGCGAGAGGGGGGATCAAAATCGTCCAGCTCAACCGCTGGTTGGGGACCTCATTCCCTGCTATGACCGCTCCGGTGCGCCGTTCCACTGATGCTCTTTGCGAACTCAAATTCGAACTGTAGAACAGGTAATGTAATAGCTTATCTTCCAGCCTCTGTGCAGACCGCTCGGCCATCACATGCTTTAAGTGAGCAATGCTTCAGTGACTCTCTGCTTGCCTCCCTGACACTATAGCTAACACATAGGTGCTCCACACATTCCAACGACTCCTATCACACATAGAACTGTGCACTCCGCCTCAAACGCTCCATCCCTCCCTCGACTCATGAGACACCACTCCCAGGAGATCTTTGATCTTCGCACAGACACAAAACATATGCCACACCGGCGTACCCGAAGTGCTAGTCCTTCTACAGCCCGAGCAAATCAACGCCGCGGTCCAGATCAACCATCCGACTCTCTACGTCCCAAATCTGCCGCTGGTGACCAGATCCTGACAGATGACCTGTGGGACCCATGGCCGGACGGAGATTTTGAAAGGTTATTCACGTGGGATGAGGTAACAAAAACTAATAATCTCGCATCCAAAAGAAGCATTCTATTGCGATGGATGCTCAACACAGCAGTCAAAAGCCGTGCTGCCAACCCGCAAGTGAGTTTATACAGCTGTACCACTTGCATAGGCTGACTTCTGTGGCTTAGGAGCAGCAGGAAGGCCACAAGCAAGAAGAAAATGGCTCCGCTTCATACGCGTCTGATGTTTGTCTTTTGACCTGTGAGCGTGGCTGAATATGGCTAACTACTCACTTGTAGTGCAGGCAAAGGGGCTCTTGCTCGTCTTGGCAAGTATTGGTATCCTGTGCGGCTGATTCAGTCCTATGAGACTGCTAGTCTCCCTGCTACTGCACGCAACCGAGTACGCTGGCAGGTGATTTGGTGGCGCGGTTGCAAATTCCCATCCAGTCTCGGACCACCTCCTAGTGATGTCGAGCAAGGAGATCTCGTGGACGAACTCTGGCAGGACCAATCTAAGAGGCGTGAGATTCGCGTGAGTGTCATTGACTGGTTATGTACTTAGTCCTCTTAACATGAAGTATTGTGTAGCTCGGAGAATGGGTCCACTCTTGGGATACCCCTCGCGAAGAAGACTTGATTCAAAATTTTATGTCAGCAGAACCATCGAAAGAATTGGACGACATTCTACGACCTCATATTGCTTCGCTTCAGAAGCTCCTTGATAGTCTTGACTTGAACCAGTGTGATGCGGAGGCATATCCTGTGATAGACTACATCTTGCGGTCGAAGAAGAACCTAGATGGTGTGGGTGCATACAGCATACCATTTTGTGGCGACATCTCATCTCACGAGTATGCAAAAATCGCACGTTGGTTCGCTGAGAACATTCCCGGTGCCTCCGGTCAAGTCGAAAAATGGCTCGGTGGCATGCCTTTAGTGCACGCTTTCACTCTCGTTGTTGCTCATCGAAAGGCTGGTTATTTCCAAAAACGCGTCGAAGCTCAGAACGAGGAATGGAACAATAACGAGCTTTTGAAGATGGCTTGGGCTGCTCTCGATTTCTGATGCCGGGTGTCGCTCGTCGTTTGTTTCGTCCTACCATCATGCCTGGTGGCTTAGAAGAACGATATATTAAACTTGCAGGTAGGTCACTCCATATCACGTTCGCATCTGTTTCATGTTTCTCACAACTATCTACAGTCATCAGCGGAAAGAATCGTGAAGTTCCTTCTGAGCGCTTTCCCACAGGCATTTACGCATCGGTGTCTTATCATCGGATGAATCTGTAGCATAGGGGGATATTGGGACTCTGTAAAGCCCATAGGGACTTTCTGACACGATGCGAGAATTGATCTTTGGTTTCTAGATCATCGCGTGCCTCACCTCTGTCAGTGGAGATCTATGAGCTTCGTCGAATGTTAGGCAGTGGGGAGGTCATCGGGCAACTTAAAACGTTGTGGGATGAGATGCTCGATCATGGAGATGAGCCATTCGGTCAGCAACATACTTGTTGTTCATGCATATCTACTAACATCTCATAGGTTCTGGTGTTCACGGTTCCGTCACGTGTTGTACATGCTTGCGACGAGCAGGACAACGCATCCGATGTGAGTGACGCTGGCTTATGCTGTTAGCTTTTGCTGACGGAACATCAAGTGTAATCCCTCGTAGACATTGCTCAAGACACAGATGCGGGCCACACACGATTTGCTGAATACATGACGAGCAGTGCGGTCCCTCACCTGAACGATAGCACCTATGATGATTTGGCCCATGGTGAAAACTATCGTATTCCAGCTGGGACTATGGTATTCGGCAACCATTGGTAAGCATTGTGCTTCAAGAAATCACGGATCTAACAGTCACTGCCTTGGGCCTATCTCTCGGGATTCAGATGTCTACCCGGAGCCTTATGCGTTCAAGCCACAACGCTTTGAATGACATTTATTTCAGGGTATGCCCTGGTCAATATGTCACGAACATGTAAAGCAGTCTTGCAAGCACGCGGTCTTCCAAACTCATTTCGGTTGGTACAGACCAGTGTTCATAGCCACGCCCCTTATTCTTTGGGCCTACAAGCTCACTATGGAACCTACAAAGCCATTAGAGGACATGGGGTACATGAGCGGGTCGATGTCAGAGGTTTTGCCGTGCACATTTGAGTTTTGAGAAGAGGATTCCGGAAACGGAACTCAGGAGCATGTTGCAACGTTATCCTGAGGTCGTCTGAGAAGCTTTGATGCCTGGATGGATCAGGGAGAAGAACAAGTTCCCAACGAATCCTCCCAGGCTCGCAGTATGTCTTAATTTTGCCTACTAAGCCGATTCTGAATTGTGTATTATCATGGCGTAATTCCTGTCTCAAGGACCCCATTGTCTTCACTCAGTTGGTGATAAGATGTTATCATGGAGTTCCAATGACTGTGATATTCATATTACCGCGCGCGAACACAGATATCCCACAAAACAACGCATAGCTCAAATGCTCATTGGAGGCATGACACAATTCTTAATGAAAGTACAGTGCACGCCAAAGAAAAACGCCCTAACAAAATCCATAAGACAGTAGTTCATTCTGGACGGAACGCCATCCCCACCTATTAGTCTAGAGCAGCTACAAAAATCTTGTGAAGGAGGAATCAAGCGATTACAATAACATGGTTGAATGCATACCTTCAATATATCACCAGCCCACCCAGCACGGGCTTTCGTCAACGCATTAATGAACTCTATGAAACCCGTCGGTTTACAACCACTACCCTTTACGATTCCCTATGGAAAGCGTCACTCCAGACGCAGGTACGCCTCTCCCTCTGCGCACTATCGACGCCTCTTCAAGTTGCGGCCTCTTTGCCTCAAAATCCCACGTAGCGAACATTTATGCGTCGGGTAACGTGAATGTTGGAGGTCCGTTGCTGCGTCCGTCGGTTGTACCGTCATATTTATCTTTCCTGCCAGTGGGCGCCCCTGGTGCAGACGAGTTCCGAGGCAAGCTGACACAGGTGCCCCGTTGTAATACGGGTGGGTGTGCGAGGTGCATGGTGCGTGTCATGAGATATGAAATGAATGTGCAAAACGACGACTTACAGGCAAGATCTGACGAGCGAAATCTGGTGGACGTGAGGATTGCTGAGGCACAAGAAGAACGGGGTTGTCTGCGGAAAAAACAGGGCGGGGTGGCGCAGAGGAAAATATAGGTTTGTTATTGGACTCTTTGTCGTCTTTTCCTGCGCGTAAGTCAACTGCGGGACAGGGTAGGAAGGGCCAATGACTGCGACGCGAGGTGGGCTAAGTACGATGTTGGCATATAGCGTATCTGGAGGGTTCCACTGTGGATTGTTTTGTACTTGCGACAGGAGCGTTGCCGCAACTTTGTGCTTCAATGGATCTGGTGGGCTGGGAGGGGAACGGGGTGGCGTTTGGTGTGTTTGTGAGACAAAAAGAATGTTCCTGCGGGCCGCTTTTCTTTTTTCGTCTCCATTGTCATTTTCAGACCTCTCATCCTTTCAGCTACAGTGAACGCAACAGTGGACTTTGCGACTCCCGCCGTGCCATACAACCAGATGATTCGGCTCTTTTCGTTGTTGTCTAATAATCCGTAGATGTACTTGAGGTACACCTGGGTCCCTTCCAAACATTGCGGATGGGGCAGACGTTCACGAGAGTCATGTTCAGCACCAGCAACAGTGACCTTTATCCCAAGTTCCTTCAGACATATCCAAGAGCTGTCAATGAGGTCGGGGAGCGATAATAAAACATAAAAGATGAAAATACTGACATTGAATCACGGCACAGCCAGAAGACAAAATGAGTAGGAAGGCTTTCATTGGACTTTCAAGCTCAAGCTTCAAGAGGGGGCACTGCAACAACAAATGTTTATCAGTTTCGCATTCCAACCGTCAGTGCCACAGATCAGAAGCTTGATCAAACGAACTTATGTTTCACGTTCTGACTCCAGACAGCGATGTCTTGCGGATGTTGGTCCCGGGGCGTAGCTATTTTGATGCGGTCCTGCCGTGCCTGCCGCGGTCGTGACGCGCATGTGACGCGGCGTGACGCGCAAGTGACGCAGCACTGACGCGGCACTGATGAGTCTTGACGGGGCTACTGACGCACTAGTGCAACTCATTTCTCATCAAGTTGTATGGGTTCATGATCATTCCTTCGTTGATTTTATTCACCATAGGCACATATACTACTAGCCAGTCCTCAACTAATGACTATTTTCTTGGAACTGACGAGCCTTGACGCGCCAGTGTTCTACACTAAGGACACATACTACTAGTCGCATCAGCCAATGACTATTTTCTTTTCCTCCCTCTCTGGACCCTCTTTGAAGCACGTCGACGTTTAACTGGTGCGCATTCTTCAGCTGGCAGTGAAGGGCGACGTTTCACGGGCGCAATCTCTTCTTCAGCCGGCAGCGAAGGAGCTACAATGTCGGACAACTCGTCTGCAGACGTGGCATCAGAGTTGTCGCTGAATAAAGGGCCGCGCTGTCAATCACATCGGTTAGAGACTTATTGAACAGAGCAGGTAATATTTTCCTTACCTCAAGTTCACTCTCGCTGTAATCTCTGCCCAGAACCCACTCAGTAGGAATGTTGAGATACACGCCCCACCGCCTGTGATGTTGACCAGCATCCAAACCCCACTGCCGGTTGCCTGCAAGTCCTGCTTCTTCGGAATCCTCGAACATCCTTGCTTCCAGTGTGGTCAGACACTCGAGGTCTACGTCAGCCACGAAACTGTCGGCGGGATAGCTTATCATGAGATCAGCCCAAGCCATCTTCAAAAGCTCGTTATTGTTCCATTCCTCGTTCTGAGCTTCGACGCGTTTTTGGAAATAACCAGCCTTTCGATGAGCAACAACGAGAGTGAAAGCGTGCACTAAAGGCATGCCACCGAGCCATTTTTCGACTTGACCGGAGGCACCGGGAATGTTCTCAGCGAACCAACGTGCGATTTTTGCATACTCGTGAGATGAGATGTCGCCACAAAATGGTATGCTGTATGCACCCACACCATCTAGGTTCTTCTTCGACCGCAAGATGTAGTCTATCACAGGATATGCCTCCGCATCACACTGGTTCAAGTCAAGACTATCAAGGAGCTTCTGAAGCGAAGCAATATGAGGTCGTAGAATGTCGTCCAATTCTTTCGATGGTTCTGCTGACATAAAATTTTGAATCAAGTCTTCTTCGCGAGGGGTATCCCAAGAGTGGACCCATTCTCCGAGCTACACAATACTTCATGTTAAGAGGACTAAGTACATAACCAGTCAATGACACTCACGCGAATCTCACGCCTCTTAGATTGGTCCTGCCAGAGTTCGTCCACGAGATCTCCTTGCTCGACATCACTAGGAGGTGGTCCGAGACTGGATGGGAATTTGCAACCGCGCCACCAAATCACCTGCCAGCGTACTCGGTTGCGTGCAGTAGCAGGGAGACTAGCAGTCTCATAGGACTGAATCAGCCGCACAGGATACCAATACTTGCCAAGACGAGCAAGAGCCCCTTTGCCTGCACTACAAGTGAGTAGTTAGCCATATTCAGCCACGCTCACAGGTCAAAAGACAAACATCAGACGCGTATGAAGCGGAGCCATTTTCTTCTTGCTTGTGGCCTTCCTGCTGCTCCTAAGCCACAGAAGTCAGCCTATGCAAGTGGTACAGCTGTATAAACTCACTTGCGGGTTGGCAGCACGGCTTTTGACTGCTGTGTTGAGCATCCATCGCAATAGAATGCTTCTTTTGGATGCGAGATTATTAGTTTTTGTTACCTCATCCCACGTGAATAACCTTTCAAAATCTCCGTCCGGCCATGGGTCCCACAGGTCATCTGTCAGGATCTGGTCACCAGCGGCAGATTTGGGACGTAGAGAGTCGGATGGTTGATCTGGACCGCGGCGTTGATTTGCTCGGGCTGTAGAAGGACTAGCACTTCGGGTACGCCGGTGTGGCATATGTTTTGTGTCTGTGCGAAGATCAAAGATCTCCTGGGAGTGGTGTCTCATGAGTCGAGGGAGGGATGGAGCGTTTGAGGCGGAGTGCACAGTTCTATGTGTGATAGGAGTCGTTGGAATGTGTGGAGCACCTATGTGTTAGCTATAGTGTCAGGGAGGCAAGCAGAGAGTCACTGAAGCATTGCTCACTTAAAGCATGTGATGGCCGAGCGGTCTGCACAGAGGCTGGAAGATAAGCTATTACATTACCTGTTCTACAGTTCGAATTTGAGTTCGCAAAGAGCATCAGTGGAACGGCGCACCGGAGCGGTCATAGCAGGGAATGAGGTCCCCAACCAGCGGTTGAGCTGGACGATTTTGATCCCCCCTCTCGCTGGGATAGAAAAAATTGAATATATGTTTGATTAATTCCTAGAGTATGGTTAAAACAAGTGCGCTCTGTATCTCAAAGCACTCACGATAGGCATGGTATATATAGATTTCCAACAGCGCGATACCGGTTCTGCTCTAGGCCATAGGAGTTGAGGGTGGAGAAATAATTTTTTGGAGTGCCACTGCCCGTAGAATGCTTATATTATGTACCTAAGTGACACTGACAGTTATTGACGCGGCACTGAGGTTTGACGCGGCATGTATAGATGTGACGCGGCAGTGATGCGGCATGGGTGAAGTGTGACGCGGCATGGGTGAGGTGAGACGCGGCAGTGACGCGGCATTGACGAGGCATTGCCGCGTCACAACTTGCTTGACTCGCCTGTGACGCGGCATGTGCTATGCTTGACGCGGCATGCAAGTGGGCCTTGACGCAGCATAGATAAGTGTGGAGGTTTACATTAGTGCGGAGGCTGCGAATATGTTGGGGAGAACTTGTCGTAGTGTGAGTAGTGCTTGATCCAGCCTTACTGAAGCTTGACATGGCATGGTTGGGGGCTTGACGTGATAGTACAGAGCACAGAGGCTGCCGGACTTGATAAGGTGGGGTCGAGACTTGACACAGTGATACAATAATTCACACTGCTGTCTGAAAACAAACTTTGGATCAATGATTAGAGACCATACAATACAAACACAAGATGCACAGAATATTCCCAAGTAGTACGAACACAGAGGACAAGCACTGTGAAATTGGTGAGAGGTGAATGCAGCATTCCAGGGCCTGTACACAGCTGAACATTCATATGTTGATCATTAGCGAGGATACAAAGTGTTTGGAATTCATTTCGAGCGACATAAGGTAGTGTTTGAACATAATCTGTACCCTAGTATTTGTGACGGAGCCACGTCACATATGCCACTTCAGTGCCGCGTCACAGGTGCGTCACGACCGCGACAGGCACGGCAGGACCGCGTCAATTTCACCTGGCCCACTACTGAGGGCGCACTACGTACGAGAAGTCGAGAGAGCTCGGTTTACTCGAGTTGCGCATCAGTTTTTTTAGATAGGTCGTTATCGGCCTTGAGCCGACATTTGGTGGAGAATGCGATGAGAAAAATGGTGTTGGTATGTACGAGCGCTCCGAGTCAGCGGGTTGTGCAGGAACAGAAGAAAATATTGACTGCAGAACTGGCTGTCATCGTTGGGGTTGATGCTGAAAACGTACCGTCATCTATTGTTTCTGTACTTGTCGGGGTAATGGTTGAACTTGAGAGAAGACATTCGGCGTTCGCCCTCTCGTCATTCGTGTGTCCTGCTCCATGGTCGACATTCATGTGCCTGGAATTCAGTCAGCTCCAAGAACTCCAGCGGACCAGCTTATCCAACGCTCCTTCCAGAAGCTTCTAGAATACGGACTTTCAGGCATGTTCAATGATCTCCCCGTTGGTATTCTACCGCTGAAAGCTTCCATCCCTTCCCGTCCGGTGAAAGTGCCAGTACTAGTGCATGGATCCATCCACTCTCACCTTTCCATTCTTCCTCGACAACAAACCGTGTGTTGGCAGTTCCACTTGCGCATAGTGCCGTCCTCTGAACTACTCACGGTGTAGACGTTGACTGTGTCGTGCAAAAAGAAAAAAACCTGAATCACCCCATCGTGTCCTTCAGATTCATACTTTAGAATTGGTTCTTCCCATCGTCGAAACTTCATTGCATGTCCATCTTGCAAAGAATCTAGCAGCCATAACTCATTACCGTCATCGGGTGGATCAATCAGACTCTACTACCGTCAGTGGTCGATTATGGAGGCGAACAAGTTGGCCAGCACTCACTGATCTGTCTACTGATCCGTTGCTTGGGGGCAAGCTGGCAAGACAGGCGAGTTTTCATGTCCTGCAGGTGGAGGGCATGCTTTCCACGAGGCGGTACTGATCGTCCATTGACAAGTTCTTATCGCATCACTTTGATGTTTGCAAACAACAATGCCCAGCCATCCAATTCCTGTCATGTTTCGATGCATATACGCATCGACCAGTAAGTAACACAGCCTGTCCCGTCTATCTATTGTTTACTTCAAAGTTCATGTTGTTCATTGTGCCTTGCACTCTAACCATCTCATACTCCTTTAAAGCTCTACTCTCCCAAAATACAACACAATACCTTTCAGTACTCGTTGATGTCAGGATGGGCATACGCGATACGACATTGGGGACATAGAAGTGCGCAAGGGACGCCAGGTGAGTACTTTGTGCTTCCAGTATTTGGGACGTATATTCTGACTGTGTCTTCGCCTTCTAGCGAGAGAAGATGACCTTCCCTTATTGTCTGCATATATCCTCATGCTCATCCTGGACCCATCCCTCGTATCCCTGCAAAACACCGGGTCCAGCAACCACACACCAACGACATCACGAGGGACTTGTCTTTCACCCGGATGGGGTCAAGCTTGCTGGTTAATGTATTCTACATGTAGGTCACATCCATCTAGTACAATTCTGTCGCCATGTAAGAGCTTACATCCCGTCCTGCTTCGTGTCAATTGGGTCCACCTCCACCTCTCCGCTATCACCTTTTCGGACAAGGATTGTCCCGTCGCGGAGCCGACACCCAGAACAAATAATGGCAGGCGGTCAAAACATGAGAGGTAGGACCTATAGTAAAAGGTGAAGACGGTGAGCGTTAGTGCAAGTGAGGTATGAGTTGATCGGTGGAATAAGATGGGGTGTTAGTGGTGAGAGCAGGCCATAAGCACCAGAGCTGGGCAACGAGAGATATATGAAACACACGAGAGCAAATGAAGACCTACAATACGCCCATGACATTTTAAATCGCTTAAAGGTCGCTTGCTAGTCGAGCCTGCCCTGCGAGGGAGGTGGCGCGATTGGATCCAGTAAGTTCTTCATTGTGATTTGGATGGCGATACGTCGAGAGGATTACAGCTACTGTAGTATGTGTGCGGCAGAAGGTTGTACTGCTAAAATTAGCTTTATGAGACTTGACATCATGGTTGAACGTTGAAAGGTGACACACATGAAAACGCGTAGGCCGTAATCCAAACACCTAGTATACCACCTGCGTGTTCACATAGGCTACTTGAAAGCTAGTATCTTCCGAGTGGATGACATAAGATTCACCGAGTCTCCAGCTGCTTTGAATTGGCTTTCGCACACCTCAGGCTATCAACCTATATTTGTGTGCTCTCACTCGGCCTGAAGCCCCCAAATCCCCACGTGCCAAATCGATTCACAATGAATCTACAGGACGGGAGTTGTGATGGTGAGCACTGTTCCCTTTTTTGGCTCCAGCTCCCCCCTGCGTCGTTCGCCTACCCACGACGCTTGGTATGGCCCTGGGCTGAGTGGTCGTGGCTTCACTGCCCCTTCCTCCATGCCCACGCCCTTAACACCATACGCCGTCTTCGTTTATTGACACGCCTTTATCTGCAGGTGCTCCAATGCATCGCCGTTTTCTGGATGACACCGGTGAGAAGCGCCTTGCCTCCTCTGGAATGCGTGAACGCTGTGCCTTACTGATCCCTTGACCGACAGTGCTTGCCATAACGACGATACTCACTGAGCGGTGAGTTTGCGAGGCTCGTCCGCACGCACGGCTGAATCTCAGCCCTTCGTCAGCTTTCCCCTTCGCATGGTGTGGATTCCTGCGGCCTCGGAGCCGGCGAGCTTTGCGTAAAGGGCTTGGACCTTCAGGACGTTATTCTGGCGCGTCACGAATATCCTTGGGAGGAGGGGCGTAATCGTGATCCAGATGTGGAGGAACTCCTCGAGCGGCGTGCCAGCGCTGTGCCAACTGATGCACAGCGTTCTGCCACTCCGGGCTATACTAAGATCCCGTGAGTTACTCACTACGGGTCCTTTTACCCTTGCTGACTGCCTTTCACAGGCAGCGCAAGCGCAGTTTCCAAACTGCCAACTCGCTGACAGCATCCCGCACAAGAAGCCGAGAGTGAATAACGTCCTCAGTCCCAGTCTGCGCATGCTCCCCTCTGGCTCACACCTGCTACCCTCCGGCTCGCATGCACTTCCCCCTAGGCCCCCTGCAATGGCTCCTCGCCCCGCGGCACCCCCTCAAAGACCCATCCCTCCCTCCAAAGCCCGTGTGCTTAAGCACACCTGCCTTGCAACGTACTTCACAGTGCCTGGAGCCTCCTGATTGCATAGAGCAGTCCATAACCTGGCATGATGCCCCCTCCAACCCCATCTGCCTCTGCCTCACGTCAAAAGGCACCGGCAAGGGTGAAGAGGGATTTAAGACGTCGCGAATTGCACAGGCTCGACACTGATAGAAAGGTGGAGGAGTTCAAGTCCGATGGAGCAGTCAATGCACTTGCCTTTCGGGTATCTACGACTGGCTGGCAAGGTACAAACTATGGCTCTACTGAGTCAGGGAAAATTCTCCGGGAGGAGTGGTATAGCTACCAGATATTGTTTCGCTTGACTAAATTTGAAAGAGTTCCATATCAGAAGTGAGTGTTTTGAACTTTGAGCTGTGCAGGGCCTTAATTATGCATTGCAGCCTTAAAACTCGGATCAGAGATTCTCAAGGTAGGCTGTGGCTAGTGCGAACCTTTGTGGGTCCACACATGCATGAGCTCCTTCCACGTTTTCAAAAGGAGGCAGCTGCCTTTGTACTTGCTGTTGAAGAAAGCAAGATGGGCTTTAAGGAGACTGAGATGCAGGAGAACACTAGGGGACCTCATTGGATTTCTATCTGTGGCCATGACCGCAACTCTAAATCTGTAGGAGTACCTGTCTCAATGCCTCTCAGCTTGTAACCACTAGACTCTCCAGAAGCCTGCTCTCAGTGCTTGGCACATATCAAACCACAAGGCCATTGATCAACTGTGGAGCCCTGGAGGTGCCACCTCTCATATAAGGCAAGTTGAAACTATTTACTGTTATAAGAAGTCTGTCTCAACCCACACAAGTGGGCTCATGAATGTCATCTT